CGGGGATCCGAGCTATCGAGGACCTGCCCCAAAATCCCAGAGGAAACCGGCCAGGAGACTCGGGGTCGGTGCAGGCGGGCGGTCAGGCCAGAGGTGGGCCCATCGCTCAAAGGGCGGAAGCGCCGGGAGCTGCTGGTTCAGTTGTATCAACAAAAGAAGCGCGGACCCTCATGGAACGCATGGCCAACCTGGAAAGAAGACTGACCGGGGACGTCGCAGGGCTGAAAAAGAACATTGGACGGGTGGGCGAGGTGGTAAACGTCGACATTACGCCCAGTCGTACGCATGACCATCCGTTCACCGCGGAGATAATGGCACCCCCTCTCCCCGATAAATACAAGTCGCCGTCGATTCCACCTTACGATGGACGAGGAGATCCCGACGACCATTTGGAAATGTATACGGGGCATATGCTCTTGCACGGATACGCCGAGGAGATCATGTGCTGAGCCTTTCGGAACCACCTGACAGACTCTGCCCGAAGATGGTTCCGAACGCTGAAGCCAAACTCTATCTCCAGCTGGGATGAACTAAAGGAAGCATTTTCCCTCCAGTTCATCGGGGTTAAAAAGTACATACCCCCGAAGCAGAACCTAACGACGATATATCAAAAGCCAAATGAGACGTTAAGGGAGTGGCTCGCCAGATACGGTGAGGCCGTCGCCGCTACAATGGATATCACGGACAGGGAAGCCCTGATGGGAGCATTATCCAGTATGAAGAAGATAACTCCCTTCAAAAGGGAACTAAACCGAAAACCTCCTTCCAGCTACAAAGAGTTCCTTACAAGGGCGCAAGGATACATCAATGCTGAAGAAGCGGATGCCAACGACCCCGATCATAGGTCCAATAAGGGTAAAGGAGCCGAGCAGGGGTCGACGCCATCAAAGCAAGACGGGAAGAAGCGTCGAGGAGGAGGAAGTGGAGATAAACAACCGATCCCGACGCAAGGAGCGCCGGAGGCCAAGAAGCGAAGACATGAGGATACCCGCAGGCCTCGGCTGTTTCAGAAATACGACACCTACCATGAACTGACGGTAGGCCTCGAGGAGATCTTCAACCAGATCGGCCGAGGAAACTTGCTGCGCCGACCTGGACCAATGAAGTCGGATCCTAACCAAAGGAACTAGCAGAAATTCTGTAGGTTCCATGGCGAGGTCGGCCACCACACGAATGATTGCGCTGACCTCAAAGATGAAATCAAAAGAATAATCCGCGAGGGAAGGCTGCAGGAATTCAGGGCCGAACGAAGACCTCGCAACAACGACCATGGCGGGCAAAATGACGGTCGACGCCGAGAGGAGAACCACCGCCCAGAAGATCGGGAACCTGTCGGCGTCATACGAACGATCCTCGGCGGCCCCTACATAGGAGGAGACACGCGGAGGTCGCAGAAGGACTACGCCCACGAGGC